AATATATATATATATATATAATAAAAAAAAAAAAAAAAAAAAAAAGAAAAAGAAAAAAAAATAGAAATCGTGCGGCTATTCGAGATGCACGTTATTTGCTAAGCGACAAGAGTGAGACGCGTAATTAAGCGAAATTAACAAAAACGAAAGCAACAAAAAAAATAATAATAATTACAAAAAAGGCGAGGTTAGTTTTTGTATCGATATCGAGAAATAGGTTTCACAAAGGTAGCAGAGAAACGAGAAAACGATCACAGGAAATCGGAAATGGTGTCGTAAATCGGCGCATTCTTTGAATGCAATGCGATTCAAAGAAATCGAAGAGAGATTTTCAAAAATAAAAGAAAAAAAAATGAGAAAAGTAAAAGAGGAAAAAATAAAAAAGATACAAAGGAGAAATAGCTTTCAATTTTCTCGTGAGATCGATGAGATGGATGATGAATTGCGAGATGGTCGTGAACGATTAAAATATGAAATAAATATAAATACTCGACGCTAGAACTGTACTAGAGCCAGAATATAAAAAGTATATACAACGCAAAAAAAAAGACTGTAGCACCATAAAATGTATATCTTGGATCTTAACATATCAAATGTCTCAAATTTTTGACTATAATTACGAGTTTATTCGTGGTGAGATCTATCGCTGAACAGCTAATAATAATAAACAACTGATTATCCAGTTTCGAAGTACAGTATATATTTAGATAAGTCTGGTGATGGGTCGAAATTTTTTTTAAACCATATTATTTAAAATTGTTATTTAGCGTATCAAAGAGCAAATAGAATGATTCATCGTATAGACACAATAGAAAAATTCGATAAGGAAAATTATTTTAAAAATGATGATTGATGAATGATTCTACTAACTTAATTGATCGATATCTTTATTTATTTTGCTAATATTTTTTAAAATTAATTCTACAATGTTCTTCATCATACTCTTAATATACATGATTTTTTTTTTTAGTTTTGATTTTATGTTATATTTTGTTAAGACCTTTATTGAAATATAAAAAATGATCGTGCGAATGATCATTTTTTAACCTTCCAATTAGTTTTACACAATTTCATATTAACATTTAACAATATGTAAAGTCTTGAAACGGAAAAATCTTTTGGATAAAAGTTTCATCAATATATGAAAACTATTATAATTTTTTGGAATAGAAACTACCATTCCTATCATTAATTAAAAAACTTTTAAAGAATTTTCAAGATCCTATACGTTCCAAGACTTTTTAGATTCAATTCTACACTTTTTTACTAAGTTAAACATAGAAGTCTAAAAATTATCGAACTTTATTTCAAATTTTTATTTGCAAATTTAGTTAAATGCTATCTTAATAATTTTGTAAAATATTTAATCAAACATATAATTTTATTTTTCAAAATTATTTCTCATCACCAGACAACAATTTCAAAAAATTCGCTCTCGAGAAACTTCCCTACCATTTAAATCTCGCAATTCACCTGTTATTCTCGAAAAACAAAAAAGAAAAAAAAAGAAAGAAAAGAAAACAATTAAAATAAAATTTCGTTTTCGACGTTATTGGCTTGCAAGTTCAACGAGTCTATCGAGATATCTGTCGAATCGAGGGAGCATAGTCGAGTTAAACCGTAGCGGTAGACAAAACATACATACTTAAATTTAAAAAAAAATAAAACATTTCCGTTTCCGGTTTCAAGGATCGAACACAAAACTATTTAAAGA